GTGGAAGAGAAAGTATATATATAGGTGGTGGGTAGAAGTGACCATTTGGGGTATAGGATGGGCCGGACGTCCGGAGAACGTCGGACGTCCGGAGGCACAAATAGGTCCGGATGTCCGATAGCCATCGGACGACCGGCCGCTGTGAAAAGTGTGACCCACAATCCAGTGTACAGGATACGGACGTCCGAGCTGGGCCGGACATCCGGAGCACGGACGACCGGAGGGTCCGGACGTCCGTAAAAATGCTTCTGTTGTGAAAGTGTCGGACGTCCGGAGAGTTCCGGACATCCGTAGAAATGCTTCTGTTGTGGATTGCCGGACGTCCGGAAGTGGCCGGACGTCCGGAAGTGGCCGGACGTCCGGGCAATCAAGAAGGACCGGACGTCCGTAGAACACCAGACGTCCGAAGGCAAGGTATAGAAATAGTATCTTTTGAGCAAGTTTTTCACTAGATCCATCGATCCCCTCTTAATAGTGCGGGATCCCTATACTCAAGAACAAACCATAAATGAAGTCAACATCTTGTATCTTCATTCTTGAGTTATATGCTTTTTGTCCTTCATCATGATCCATGCACACGGTCTTTGGAACATAATCCTGAGATATACTTGATAAACATGATTAGTCCCGAGCATATGTGTTGTCATCAACATCAAAATATGATTAAGGGCATGATTGCACTTTCAACACAGCAAAAGGTGATTATATTGGATAGATCTCCAAGAACATCAAGGAGAACATTGTATTGAAGATCAAAGAGAGAGATGAAGCCATCTAGCTACTAGCTATGGACCCGTAGGTCTGCGGTAAACTACTCACACATCATCGGAAGGGCAGCAAGGTTGATCTAGAGCCCCTCCGTGATCGATTCCCCCTCCGGTAGAGTGTCGGGGAAGGCCTCCAGATGGGATCTCACGAGAACAGAAACTTGCGGCGGCGGAAAAAGTATTTCGGGTGGCTCTATGATGTTGGGGGAATATTTGAGTATTTATAGAGCGGAGATTAGGTCAAGAGGTGCCACAAGGGGCGCCCCCCTGGGGCGCGCCTCCCAAGCTTGTCGCTCCCTTGTGGCTCTTCAGGTCTTCTCCCGAAGCTTCCAGGGTCCCCTCTGGTTCAGAAAACATTAATCCAAAATTTTTTCTTCATTTGGACTTTTTTTATATATATTTCCTAAAAAGCCGAGAACATGCAAAAAAACAGCAATTGACACTGGGCACTAGGTTAATAGGTTAGTCCCAAAAAATGATATATAATTGCATATAATTGCTTAATAAGCATCCAAGATTGATACTACAATAACATGGAACAATCAAAAATTATAAATACGTTGGAGACGTATCATAGGTGCATACAACTTACAAGACATGATCCAAAATAACACTTATATTCATGAAAACATAATAGGTTCGGATCTGAAATCATGGCACTCGGGCCCTAGTGACAACCATTAAGCATAGCAAAATCATAGCAACATCAATCTCAGAACAGAGTGGATACTGTTTAGGATTGAGATCGACAGAGAACAATCGAGAGAGTTATAAAATGAATCAATCTCTCTTTATTGATGATGAGTACATCTATATATAGAGTTACAAAGGACACCAAGTGAAAAGGTGTCTGTTCGAGAAGGCACCAGGACCGGACGTCCATATGGCAACTGTCATCTATTCCTTACGCATGGATTAATAGGATTAATTAAATCTTAACAAATACTAGGGATCAAGCCCTAACAAACTGGATCATTTAGATGACAAATCTCATCCAACTCCCATCACCATCCAACAAGCCTAATAACTACTCACTCCCGGCGATGAGCATCATGGAATTATTGATGAAGAAGGGTTGGTGATGATGAAGAACGGACTCCGGAATAGCCCTCCTGATTAAGAACAAGTGGTGGCGTCAGCTCCGTATCATAAAATGCAACGAAACTTCTCTTTTTTTCTCTCAGTGAAACGAAATTTATAGGCTATGAATTAGGTCAGACGACCACATGTGGGACCCACAGGCATCAGGGCGCATCCTGGGGGTAGGTGCGCCTTGTTGCCTTGTGAGCAATAGGTGCCCCCCTCCAATGGATCTTCGTTCCAGTATTTTTAATTATTCAATAAAAAATCTCCAAAAAGTTTCGTCTAATTCCGGGAACTTTTATTTCTACACAAAACAAGCACCATGGCAGCTTTGCTGAAAACAGCGTCAGCGCGGGTTAGTTTCATTCAGATCATGCAAATTAGAGTCCAAAACAAGAGCAAAAGTATTTGGAAAAATAGATACGATGGAGACATATCACACGTCTGTAGTGTCCATGGCGTACCTGACCGGAGGTATATCTGTAGCCTAGATAGTCGTGCACCGTTGTTATCAATGCACCTCTCATACGAAAATAAGTTCCTTTGTCGGCATCCCTGTTTGGACCCCTTCAAAAGCTCATAATATGTACAATTCATCCTTCAATAGCTAGAGATACAACTGAATATAATTCCCCGCTTGTTTCGTCCCTTGAATCAGCATGATCATGTGCATATACTTTTCATGCATATCCAAGGTGGAAGGTTGTAGAATCATATAAAAACACCAAAAAATAGGATGCACTATATTACGACACGTCTGGCATGGTGTTTGTCGCAACTTGCATATGATGTCGAAAATCATTGAAACCTGACATGGATGCCTACCATGGGTATGCCCACTTGCTTGCAATAATTGGGGTCATTTGAAGGATGCTCAAATATAGATCATGTTCAACGGAGGGTGTTCGGGTAGAACCAGAAGGCTTCGTTTGAGAGCACGTTGTTTATCGACACCCTTGAAATGGTCCCAATTTTATTTCATGACCTTGTATGACCAACTCAAGGCATCATGCCAAGTTGTTTAGGTTTTCGACGCGTTTTGCATATTGTGGAGTTCTCTTGATGAAAAAAGACTTGATTAATGCCCAAACATGCCGCAACGTGCATGAAATGTGGGAAGTCGTTCAACCCTAGTATGCATGCCTACCATGGACATGCCAACCTAGTGGCAAAAGTTAAGGTCATTTCAAGGATGTCCAAAAGGCTCAGTTGAAGAGCATGTTTATTCTTACATACGTCAAATTAACCAAAAATATTAATCAATGGCCTTGTATGATTCAGGGCACCAGGGCAGGTTGCTTGGGTTTTTGACATGTTTTGCATTTTCTGAAATTTTTTCGATGAAAAAAGGCCGATAAATGATTGGACGTGTCACAACGTGCATACGCTATCGGAAGTTATTCAAACTAGGTGTGAATCCCTAATATGGACATGCCGACCTGTTTGCAAAGTTGAGGTCGGTCCTATTATTTCCAAAAAAAAAACATCATGTTCAACCAAGAGTTTTCGGATAAGCCAGAAGAGTCCGTTTGGGAGTGCCTTATCTCTCGACATTCTTAAAAAATTCCCAGCCATTAATGAAAATTTTGAACAAAATTAGCAAACCACATACATTTTTTTGAAATTATCAACTTTTTTGCAACATAAACATTTCTTAATTTGAGAACAAACAAAATAAAAATGGAAACATTTTATGAAATTCTAGAACAATTTCTAAAATTGTAAACAATATTTAAAAACAAGAACATTTTCAGGTATTCCATTTTTCTTTTTAAATAACAGATTTTAAAAAAACTAAAAGGAGACAAATGAATTAACTTTTTTTTGAAGTGAACAAATGAATTAACTTAGAAAGCGAAAAAACAAAAATACAAAAGAATAAAATGATTAGGCCTTTGGCCAAACTAGGCGACAGCATCGCTCCAGCCGGCGCCTCCAGCCGGGCGCCTGTTGGGCTGGCCCAAGCGTACACGAATTTGATAAAAGGTCATCGATTTTGGAAAAAACAAATGTTCACAATTTTTAAAAAGAATCCAAGATTTACAAAAAAAAGATCACTAGAAAAAGTTGCGCTTGAAATTGAAAAAGATTCACAAATTTAAGAAAAAGTTCACAAATTTGATATTCTTTTAATTTTAAAAGTTCACGCCTTTGAAAAATAATAAATAAAGAAAAAATAAATTAAAGAGAAGCACCTATCTCCTACAAAAACGACGTATGAAAAGAGACAAAGCAAATATACATATAAGCTAGTATGGCAGAGATAATTGGATAGATGACACCCCAATTCCTTCCAAACTACTGCTCCGAAAAATACCATTATGGTCATTTCTTGTCCATTTCACATGAATACTTCTCATGTTTTTCAGACTGTATAAGGCCCATATTCTTCTCCACTACTATATTTTCCCTCCTGCACCGGATTATCTCTCCCACGAGCCCCAACCCCTTATCTGACGACGCCCTCTGTGCACTGGACCATACCTGCACCATACTCAAATTGTCAAGAAGATCATTTAAGTCAAAAAGAAATTCAACATGTTGCTATTTAGCAAATGATTTTTTTTTTTTGCAGTAGCTTGAGCAACCAAATTCCATCACATGCATAAATGTAAGTACTCATAAAAAATTACCAATTTATTGTAGCTATTCTGGTTTCTGATAACAGAAGTCAGAGGGAAAACCCATCTCTTTCAAAAATAAAAATAAAACTACAAACCAAAATCTTACAACTGCATCCTGCAAGAAGCAACACCTAGAAAAATTGAAGCAGTAAGAGGCACAACTTTATGCAGAAAATGCGGAGTGCATAATTTTATGCAGAAAATGCGGAGTGCATAACTTTATGCAGAAAATGAGTCACTTAATTACGTCTCACATGAGCTGTGAATAAACCATATTGACTTGACATACCTAACTAGTAAAGTAGTCCGTAGTAAGTACTCTCGGGAGACACAAAGCCTTAACTTGCATCTTTTATGGCGGTAATTTTCAGTATCTAATCTTATTTCAGTTCTAAAAAGAAGTTCCAATTCTAATTTATAATCAACAGAAAAAGGGGCAAAAGATACAAAATGGCGATTGTGTTTCTTTAGGTTTTACCTTCCATGCAATCAATTAATCCCAATCTTGACATTTACTACCCTTTCATCAGATCGAGCCTTGTTCCTCTCCCAGAACCAACTCTCTGAACCGGATTATGCAGTCCATTGCCCGCTCGAATTCACTGGTCTCCAGAGCAAAGCTGAACCGGCAGTAGTCTGGTATCCCGGTCCATTTGCTACTGCTTATGCAAAGACCAGTGGATCTAAGAACGGCTTCCCTAATGTTGCAGCCGTCGAGTTTGCCTTCAAAACCGTCTATCTTGAATGATCTGCTAATGTAGGCCGTCGGTTTCGCCAGCATCGAGATACCTCCATCGCCGCCGACAACATCCCACCCACAGCTCTCAAGTGTCTGTAAATTGCAGAAAAAAAAGGACACCATGTCAAACTCAAAGTCCTCCTTGAAGCTGTGCAAAAGTATGTCTACCTAGTGGTAGCAATTAGAATTTTAGGTGATAGCATAGACTCAACTAACTTCTGGATGCAGTCAGTGCTAACAAAAACTCAAGTTACTCAAGTTAGGGGCTACGATTCGGCCTATATTTATCTCTGATCTAAGATTTAAAAGGGAATGCCAAGACTGATAGAACGGTTCAGAATGTTACAGCTGCTAACCTTCCTTAACTTGTTGGCACGTTTCTTGAGTTTCTCCCTTTGCTCCATGATGATATTAGAGAGTTTCCCCTTATCAGCTGTGAATAATCCATATGCACTTGACATACCTTACTATGCACCGGAGGGAAAGCAAAAATTGAGAGGGAAGTTCAGAGTGTTACAGCATGCTAACCTTTTTGAACTTGTTCGAACCATTCCTGACCTTTGTCCTGTTGCTCCATGATGAGACTATAGAAGGGACTAGAGAAGTGTTCATCGCACTCGTTTTTAAGACCCAACAGTTTTCTAAAAGCATACTTCAGTGTCTTATGTGGCTGACTCAAGCTTCCGAAACTAAGTTCCACATTGGGTGGCTTACTACAAATCAGAAACCCAAAATCAAGGCCAGACGCTGTCAGCTGAAGAGACAGCTCTCCAAGCATGAAATAAGTTAGTGTGGAACATAAGCAAATGTCATAAGATAATGTACTCAAATTCCACCGACTCCAGCCATCGGTTTGAAACTCAAGACCGGAAAAGGAGGTATCTATTACGACCCGAGCTGAACGATGAGCACAAACAGAGACCAGATCTTTTATCTCGTTGTCACTATAAAGGAAACCAGAAGGGTTGATTGTAGGGCCAGAAATATACACCCATGGACGGAATACATTATTGTTCTCAATGGCATCCTCTAGAGCTGCATCTAGAGCTATCGGTTCAATCTTGAAGCCTGACTCTACATTTGTTGGAATTGTCAAGGTTTTTGCGTTCATAAACTTCGCTGCTGCGACATAGTGTCCATTTGTGCCCATGGGGAAAAAGAAGGTGCCTTGTTCTTGCACACAGCAAATGATAAGCTTGTTAAAGAGTGCGAGACAGCTGCTGCCATATACAATTTCCTTACGGTAGGCGGACTCTGCAATATCAGGACAATCGTCTCCTGGTAAACCATAGTTATTTCCCGCCAGCTTTTCAATGCTAGAACGGACATCAGCTTCAGAATCCGTGATGTTCTGCCTCACAAAACTTTCAAAAATGGAGGCGCTCACTGCAGAAGGTACTGACAAGAAACTGCGGTCTAAATCCATATGAATGACACTACAATCCTTTGACTCGGGAACAAAAAATTCAGCTTCTTCTAGGGTAGTCAGAGCTGAATTAGAAAATCCTATTATCTTCTGAGGTGTCACTTCTGCAGGTTGCCTCTGAAAAATGAGCAAGGGAAAATAATTGAAAGCAAGCAAAACAAAGAATAAACATTATAATCAGCAAGTATTCCATAGGGCCCCTCTTTCAGGGAGATTTTCCGTAGGTGTCTGGACATATTATTAACTTCCACTCACAAATACTCCATAGATATGATGAAAAATAATCAAACATCCTACTGCTAAAACATTTAGCTGTTTACTGTGAGTAGGTGCTATCCAACTAAGTGGAGGGACTAATCCAAGATTTAGAAATTAACTGACTTATGCTGAGCGGAACGTCCACTAAAAAAGAGTCCCTTCCTCCGTTTTTGTATACAAGGCCACTATCCCATTTCTAAGATACCAAGAAAACAAAGTCAACTAATAAATAGCATGATTAATTGTACGGAAAAACCTCCCGTATTCCGGGCTAATTAAAATGTTGCATCTGGTGCCTCTTTCTCTATTGCTGGATGCAACGTTTGCATTAGTAAGCACCATTGTACGAGGCAAGCATCTAATCAGTTCTTCTAGGGAAGAGGTAGTGGCCTTATATCAATGCAAATTGTATTTTTGATAGTGGCCTTGTATTTAAAACCGGAAGGAGTATCAGACATGAGATGTTACCATCAGGTCAAGTGAGGTGAAGAACTGGACAAGGAAAATTCTGCCTACCTCTTGTTGTGCATGGTGGTCTCCAATTTGAAACGCCAGCAGCTCATGGAGAAGACATCCATAATAGTGCTGGCTAATCACAGAAGTATGTCCTTCCAATATCTCAATAGTTTGTGACAATGCCTTACATACAGCTGCGTCCTCGGAAATAGCAAAAGCAACTTCCAGATCAGAATAAACCTGCAATTTTTAATCCAAAGTAATTAGATAGAGGAGCATATAGAAATGAAACCTTTAGATGATGTTCCTATCATAGGTGTAAGACTGCACAGAAGTTCAAATACAGTTCCAGGCTGCAAGTCCCCTTCATGGAAAGAACACTGCTAAAGTACGATCTACTACCTCCGTTCCTAAATATAAGTCTTTTTAGAGATTTCAATATGGATTACACACGGATGTATATAGACATACTTTAGAGTGTAGATTCACTCATTTTACTCCGTATGAAGTCCATATTATAGAATCTCTAAAAGGACTTATATTTAGGTACAGAAGGAGTATTTACTCACGGTCATCTTATGATGTACTCCCTCCGTCCCAAAATAAGTGTCTCAAGTACAAAGTTGAGACACTTATTTTGGGACGGAGGGAGTACTGGATTATACATTGATCACATCCCTCGTCTGGGGCCGGTCCAGGGTGAGGGAGATCAAGTTGTTTAACTCGTCATAACTAAATCATACCCACTCCGTCCGGAATTACTTGTCGCTCAAGCGGATGATAGTGCTAGATACATCCGTTTGAGCGACCGACAAGTAATTCCAGACGGAATGAGTACTAGTTAACATGGCATATGTGTAGTCATTCCATAATGGATAAAACAATTTATGTGGCAAGTTACAGGCACCTGATTTTTTACTAGACCACACAGTATAGCTGCATGCGAAGGTAGGGTGTTTCCAGCAAGATATTTCAGCACACCATTAGAGTTTGGCAAATTAGATAGCTCCAGATGCTCTGAAATGTCTAGCAATAAGCCAGAACCAACATCTTGTGTTGCGCTTAGTAAGTTCACAAAAGCTGCACTGGTGACAACCTCAAAATGAGCTATGCCAGTAACAACAACCTGAGGCTTCAGCTTCCTGACCAATTCAATCAGCAAATCTGACCGGCATGGTGCTTCAATTACAGTGACTGTGTCTTCAGCACGGTTACAATCTGCCCTCCCCTGCAGTGTCAAAAGGAAGCAGTAGGATCAACATTCTTGAACCATCATTTTTCTTCACAGGATAGACATGTATTTTCCACTGTTCCCGTTAAACAGGATAACTTTGAAGGCAAAAGAACATATCACTACTCAGTTCAGATCAGATGTTGCTCAAACAAGAAGTGTTGCATAACATGCACAAGCTGCCAATGCATGTGTGCGTGCGTTTTTGTTGGAGAGAGAGAGAGAGAGAGGTACCTCGATTGCTGAAGATGTCAACAATTGCTTGGGCAAGTGTCTGGTCAGATGTTCATCGACAATCGCAAGTGATGGTGAGAACAGTCGAAGGTAATTTTCTATTGCCACATCGCAGGAAGGGAATACAACAACATTCTAGTGTACCAGGAAAGAAAAGAAAAAAGTATCATATGAAGCAGAAGGTAGAAGCACCCAATAGCTTGATATTGCAAATTTACAGTATAAGCAGACATAATTGTAAATGAAATAGACACAAAGCCTTACTTCAGGAGTTAATGGGATGTGGTGGTAGCTCTTCATAAATTCAGCGACAATATTCCGAAAGTTTAAACATCCAGCTGGAGGCTCACAAGGATTGGGCCTATCATCCTTCAAAAACTGAGCTAGGTATACTAGGAAGGGAATCTTTTCATCGGCAACAGAATCATCATCAAAAGATAAATTGAGCGAGCTGCCGACTTCATGAAGTCCATTTTTAATACTCTCAAATAGTTTCTTCACCTGAAAATTCTCTGAATTAGTACTATTTGCATTGGTATATTATTGCTTTTATAAAGCTAAAGACAACGCAAAGAAACCTGGTTAGGTTGGCGAAGTTGACAGCTATACACGGAGAAAGCATGTGAAACACGGCCACCAGATTTCATGTATGCCAAGGCAGTGCGTGCAGAGACAGGTTGATCCCCATGAAGATCCATGAAGAACTCAAAATGATGTGGGTAAATTTTCTCAATTTCAACTAAAGCTGAAATATCCGCATCAGAAACCTGTAAGCAACCCAGCTAGTTGGTAATCAAAATAAAAATGCCGTTGCCAAAATAGAATAAGCAGGTAGATGAAATTTATAGGCCCTACTAAATGTTGTTGTGCAACTCGAAATTCTTGACCAAACACGAGGATAATGCTGTCATGGAAAATATTTCCTGATTAATTAATATTCTGTTTCACAGCATTGCTACCTGCATAATGTTTGTTTGCCAGAGCTTATTGATGCGTAATCCACGGCGTAGAAGTACGCGTTCACAAACACCTTGACCTGGTCGGCCTCCCATGTTGAATATCATAATACCCATAGGATTTATGATAGCTATCCCTTCTTCAACTGCACGAGCAATCAACCCGAGGCCAAATTGGTCCTCAACAAAATCCTAGATGCAATAACACATGCAACAAGTTTACAAGCATACCAATAATAAAAGGATGTCGAAATAGAACAATCAGCCAACATACGAATATATTGATTGATTAAAAGTATGTGCACATCATGTCATACATACTATCAAATTGTTAGCAACTGATCAGAACTTCTCTATCTAATTTTAAACAGATGAAAAGCGAATACTACTGCTAGAAATTCCAGTATTCTAGAAAAAAACTGCAAATAACTCCACATGAAAGAGTGGAGTAAAATCGTGTTTGTAGTTATAAGTTGTAAGACGAAGTCATGCAATAGTTGGAAGTTGAGGTCAGGAATGAATTATTACTGCCAAAGAAAGTGATTCTACGTACATGTACAGTGGTTAATAAGATAGTCTTATCTTAAACCTGACATGTAATTTAGAGATGGCAATGAAAATATGATGTAATGGGTTATCTCGTAGTCTTATCTCTAATAAGTAATAGCTAGATGAACCTAAATATGTGGCGAGAGATACCGTTGCTAACAGATCGCCTCTTAATTAAAAGAAGGCCAGCCTTTTTTCTAGTTTATCTCTCCTCCACCTCGGCATTTATCCTACGTGGCACTCCTAAGATAGCACCATTGTATACGTCCTACTATATCCATCGTTTAGTCTAGTGGCCCTTGTCAATGTAGACTGCTAGCTGTCCTTCCAACCATCCGAAGTTAATATTATACTCGTGGAACCAAGGTATCAGTACAGTTGTACAAATCACATATTACTTCTCAAAATTCTTTTATCATATAAGGGGTAGAAATACACACCAACAAGTAAGTGACATGTTCCAAACACATTTTGTTTCTTCTAATCTGGTTATAACAAGGTGGTAATTACGGCAAAAAAAATGCTCACTCTTGATCCTACTACTCCAGATAGAGAGACAACGTGACGATGAATCACCATTGTCATTAGGTAAACTGAGTGGCTCAAGTGATAACGATGCAAAATATGTCTTCCAACTCACCTGAAGAGCATAGTAGTTTCTCAAGGAATACAAAAACTCCTCACTACAAAAACTCTGGATTGGGATTAAGAATCTGAAAATCAGATTGTGGGAGTAAGAATTTTCCATCAGTCCTGGTCTAATATAATTTTGTTTCACCAAATATAGTAACTGACCGTACCTGAGGTATGCATCCAACAATGTGATCAAGTTCTATCTTGTTGTCTCTACAGTATGCAAGAAGATCAGACTCATGGAATTCAACTTTATCAAGTAATGTTTTCCCCTCCCCATCATAGATTGGAAGACCATCGTCATCTAGTGCATTCAAGTAAAGATTTATCCATGCAATCTTGATAACCCTTGGGTTAATATCCAGACTGTAGACCTTCAAAGAAACAAACAATGCTCAGCTTGGGTTCTGACGGAGATAAATGCCTGGTCTATTATGGTAATGTCGAGCTAAGGGAAAAGTAATTCAGTTAACTGGCATGTGCGACTCAAAACTAATTGCATGTTATTTTCCTCTTATCCCTTTCAAAGGACAGACTGTTCAACATGGTTAGAATAATGTGTAGTGTATATAGACTAGTTCCTTGCTTAAAACTTGGAGGAAATAATGTCAACGGATATTGTTTCCTCAGATGTACCAAGCAAGTTAGACTGTTGATGGATTACTGAAAGTCTAGAATGTGGTGTATCATGAAATCGGAGTAAAAATCTAACTGCTGCAGCTCCCACTTCTGTAACAATAATGTCTGACTGGCAGCTCCCACTTCTGTAATAATGGTAGTAAGATAAAATATCCACAGAGCAAGAGGGGGAAAACCTTCAACGGAGACCACTTTTCTGCAAGCGCGATGGATATCCAACCATTGCCACATCCCAGCTCTGCGACTATCTTATCCTTGAAAGCAGGATCTGGATGCTGATTGAGACCCTCGTAGAAAGTGAAGGACTGGTCTTCAGGAATGAAAATGCTAGGCATCTCCATCATTGTTAGGATATTTCTTTGCTGGGATCCTATAAGCATTTGAAATTTTATCAAGCTATGAAAAGCAAATAAATATTAAATAATGGATGTTTTTACCGCTGCGCCAAATGAAGACAGAAGTTAATGCTTTATGCACACAAAACGTAACAAAGAATCATATCAGACCCAGACTCCATATAATGTAAGAAAATTTTCAATTGCAGTTTTTCCAGCGCAAAGACTGGGTCTATATACAATTATTAACCAAAGATATAGCTGACAGATGTCCTATTTAGTTGTTATATATGCCAATAGACTGAAGCACTCGTGTCATGCTTTTTTATTCTTATGATTATAGGTTGAGTAGGATTGTTCTCCCAGAGAAGAAACTAAAAGGAAAAAAGAATAGATAACATGCCCCTCAAAATATGTAGCTTAGGTCCTATATTAGTTTGGCAACACGTTTGCCCCACTCATTTGTCGTGCTTTTATACTTATGGTGATAGGATGGGCAGGATTGTTCTGCCAAAGAACAAATTTGAACAACCAAATAGATAAGTTTTCTCTTCAAAATCTGCAGCTTACACACAGATATGAATAAATCTGTAGCTCACACAGTAGACATGAATAAATGATGCTTAGAGGCCATCAAAATTGTTGGGAAATAGTGAATTGTACACGGAGTACAAGAACAAAAATACTCCTCTACATAAATCACTTGATCAATGTCTCATTGTGTAATAAATTCCAAGAGCACGCACCAAAATGCAAAATGTCGAATTACTGGAGTCTGGTACAAATCCAAGAACGTACGTCATGCTCGAACAAAAAACGAACTACACAAAAACGGAAACAAGAAGAAAGAAAACCAACTTGGTAGTCAGGTAGAGATTAGGGACAAGGTTTTAGTTATGGTCGAGTTCCTGATCGACGGGCCAGATGCAAACGGATCAAGATTGCAGGGCTTGATTTCTACCAAGCCGCGGGGTCTTGACGGCCAGATCGGCGAAAGACATGCGGGTCGAGGACGGGTGTGTAGGGAAGGGGGCAACCTTTGAGGTGGGGTTCGAGGACGACGTCGCGGATGCGGAAGTTGAAGGCGCGGGGACATTCCTCATTCCCGTAGACCGAGGCTACGCGGCGGCGGACGGCGCCGAGGAGACGGCGGGCCGCGGATCGGGAGGCGGGGTCCTGGAGGCGCTCGAGCACAGCCTCGGCGGCGCCGTAAGCCGCGTCGCCTGATGCCGCGCACGACGCCAGGAAGGACTCCACATCCATCGGCACGGGGCCCCTGGTTTGGTTAGAGTGGAGGAGGAGGACGCCGCTGCTAGTAGAGGGAGGATGGGCGGCGGCGGAGATCGCGGCGACGAGACGAGGTGCAGAACCGTAAACTAGAACACGACACGATTCACACTCACGCGACTGGGGTCACTAGTCTACCCAGTCACGGTGGTCAACTGCACAAAGAAATGGGAGCGACTATTCAACGGGCGCCCTACAGCATATTCTTCGTCGGTCAATTTTCCACCGACCGGTCGATATTCATCCAACGGTCCTCAGCATTTTCTTCTTCATCCCACTTCGCCTTCCTCTGATACCCCCCTGAGTCACCTCCCTCAGACCTGGGGGCGCCAACAGGGCATGTGGGGCACACAGTCGATATTCATCCAACGGTCCTCAGCATTTTCTTCTTCATCCCACTTCGCCTTCCTCTGATACCCCCCTGAGCTGCCTCCCTCAAACCTGGGGGCGCCAACAGGGCATGTGGGGCACACAGGGGTGTCATCTTCCGCTTCTTCGTTCTGCTGGTTTTAGAGCATCTCCACTCGCGCCCCCAACAGGCCCCCCGCCCGAGTTTTTTCGCGCAGGCGCCGAAAGAACCCACCAGTCGCACCCCCAGGACGCTGAAATCCGCCAGCTCGGCCCATATTTTGGCCCGGCGATCCCAGGCCGAACCCAGCGCACTGGGGTGCACTCGGGGGCTCCGGCGGAAGGAAAAACCGCGCTTGGGCCACCACTGTCAGGCGAAAAAGCATTGCACTTCCAGATTCGGCCCTCCCCCACCCCCCGCGTGCACGCCCTTCCGCCGCCGTGCCGATCCCGGCGCCGCCTACCCACCCACCGCCGCTAGAAAGGTCATTCCCCCGCCGGAAAAGAGAGGGTTCGTCGCGACAACCTTCACCCCGCTCCGGGGTGAGCTTTCCGGCGCTCCGGCCATGGAGGGCAGGGATACCGGCAGTTGCGTGTCTACCACGCCCGCCAGGTGTTCGGCGATTTGTCTGCTCGACGATGGACCCGGGTGACGAGGAGGCGTTTGTGGCGCTGCTCGAGGAGGAAGCTAATGACGACGCTGTCGGATATCGGGTTCCGGCAAAACCCTTAAGGTTCGAACTCTGGGGTGCGCACGAAGATTTCCTCCTACCGATTAACGCCCTCAGCCTCGCCGCGATCCCTAAGCTAGATCGATGAACTCACAGCACAAGACACACGAGATTTATACTGGTTCGGGCCACCGTCGTGGTGTAATACCCTACTCCAGTGTGTGGTGGTGGATTGCCTCGTGGGCAGATGATGAACAGTAGAGGGGAGGGACAGCCTCGCGAGGAGAGGTGTTCTTGGTGGCGTGGTGTTCTGCTTCGAAAGGATTCGACCAGATCTTCCCTCTCTGCCTACTGTGGTGGCTAGCTCTATTTATAGAGGCCCTGGTCCTCTTCCCAAATATTGAGCGGGAAGGGATCCAACAACGGCCATTTTGAAAGGGGACAGCTAGTACAAGCTATCCTAACTAAAGGTGGTCATCGCCTGCCAAAGGCGCTGGTGGTGACGCCGTCTTGGGCTCCATGGTGACCTCCGTCCTGCCGTCCTGCTGGTCTTGGTCTTGTTGCACCGATATGAAAACCTTTCCCTGATGCCTCGGTACTCCGCGTCTGCACTTGCCCCCTTTGCACCAAAGAGGAAACAAGGACACTGCACGGGCTGGCGCCCGTCTGGCGCCCACCTGGTCTTGATCGTCATGGCTTGCGTCATGGGCACCTCGCGAGGTACCCCTCACCTTGATCTCTCCGCCTCCTCGCGAGCCTGCCTGGTGTGGCCACTCCTGAGGAGGCCTTGTGTCGTCCGCCCCGCGAGGGTCTTTAGTGTTTGGTTGATGAAGACGGGTCGTACTGGGCCACCGCTTGAGCCACGCTATAGGCCGCAGGCAGGCAAGTCTGGAGACCCCCATTCCCAAAACGCCAACAGTAGCCCCCGGGCCCAAGGCACGCTCGGACTTGGCTTAGCGGCGTAGCCAAGGGGCA